AAAGCCACCTGTTGGTAATAGTTAAGCATAATTAAACCCTCAATTAATTTTCTGTGAAATAGTTACTATGTGACATTGGTAGGCATTAAAATAGAGTATGTAAAATCTGTTTTGGGTTTTTTGTTTTGTTTGTTTTTGTTTTTGTTTTTTTGGTTTTTCGAGACAGGGTTTCTCTGTGGCTTTGGAGGCTGTCCTGGAACTAGCTCTTGTAGACCAGGCTGGTCTTCAACTCACAGAAATCCACCTGCCTCTGCCTCCCGAGTGCTGGGTTTAAAGGCGTGCACTACCAACGCCTGGCTAGGGTTTTTTTGTTTTGTTTTGTTTTGTTTTGAGACAGGGTTTCTCTGTATAGCTCTGGCTGTACTGGAACTCACTTTGTAGACCAGGCTGGCCTCTAATTCAAAGATCCCCCTGCCTCTTCCTCCTGAGTGCTGAGATCAAAGGCATGCACCATCACTGCCCAAAATAAAAATCTGTTTTTAAAAAGTAGTTACATGAGAGCCAGTGGCAGGATAGGCTCCAAAGCCACAGTGAAACCCTGTCTTGAAAAACAAAAAGCAAAACAAAAAGTAGTTACATGATGAAACTCCATCGCAAAACACCAACAGTAAAAAGATTCTATAGGGGCTGAGGATTTAGCTTAGGTGGTAGAGTGCTTACTTTTCAGGCAAGAAACCCTGTTTGATGCCCCAAATCACATATAACACTGAATGTGTTAGTGTATACTTGTAACTAATGGGATCAGAGGTCCAAGGTCATCATCTGCTTTATATTGAATTTGAGGCTAGGTGGGAATACATGAGATACAGAGAGAGTGAAAGAAGAGTCCAGGAGAGTCTATAAACAAGCATCCTTACCATTTCAGTATCAACATCCCATACTATACACAACAAGTAATACTATGTACTAAATAAGTTGCATCATATCTAATACCAGGAAACAAGTCTAAGGCAACACCCTAAGTGACATGTATTAGTCCAGAGTATTTGTCTCAAATCCATTGAACTTTCTGATACAGCTTCTAGTTTGCAAAAATGTAGGGTTTAGAAGACAAACTAGCTGGGCGGTGGTGGTGCAAGTTTTTAATCTCAGTACTTGGGAGGCAGAGGCAGGTGGATCTCTGTGAGTTCAAGACCAGCCTGATCTACAAGAGCGAGTTCCAGGATAGGCTCCAAAGCCACAGAGAAACCCTGTCTTGAAAAACCAAAAAAAAAAAAAAAAAAAAAAAAAAAAAAAGAAAGAAAAGAAAAAAGAAAAAGACAAACTAAATGATTCACTGTAGACTTCTTGAAGTAAACTTTATTCAAATCCAGGAATTTTGTACTTCAGTTTTTCAGATATCTGCAAAGAGCCATTCATCTTCAGATTGCACAGTTAAACAAACACCTAAAGGGCATAACTAGAGGCAATTCATGGTCTAATAATTAGATGTAATAATCAGAAATAAGGTATGTATTGTTAATTGAAAAGGGAGATTACTGACTGGTATGTCATTCCAGTATTTGGGAGATGGAGACAGGAGGACTAAGAGTTTGAGGCAAGCCTGGGGTTACATGAGACCCTTTGTCAAAAAAAGACATCGGATTACTAAACCAATCTTGTTAACTGAACTATTAATATTGGTGGTGAAAATATGACATTCCTATTTTTTTAACTTGTTTCTATTTTTTTAAATTTTCTCCAAACATTATACTGATTATATAATAAAATCTTATGTAAGAAACCTTAATTTATACATGTGATTTTACTATACTTATGAATCAAGGATTATATGAAAGTTGGCTACTAAAATAGTAGACATTTTGTTAGGAGTTCCCAAGATTATGCTTTCTTCCTCATATTATTTGCATACTTTAAAATAGGTGTGTATGAGGAAAAAAGAAACATCATCCTTGTCCCACTGTAGTGTAGGTGCTTTGTAAAGAACCAGATGCAAAGAAGAACTGTAGCAACAAAACTTTTTTTTTTAGTATTACTGCTTTTCTGGTTCATGTTGTAAATGACTCATTAGGAAAAGAGTGTGCTTTGTTTGGATAACTGAAAGACCCCTGCCCCATAAGCTCCCTCTCTTGGGCTAGCTAAATTACAGACCAAGAGACCAAGACCACCCAGAACCGTTTCTGAGAATAAAAGGTCAGGGCGTTGGGACAACTTGTTTGCCAAACAGGATATCTGTGGTCAGCCATCTGGACGCATAAGGAGCAACTGCCGGGTCTGTCACAACCACTGTGTACCCTAGATAGAGCCTAGTCAGCTTTATCTGATTTTCATATGCTGAGAACATGCTGACCTAAATTGACCCTGCGCCTCATTTGAATTGTCCAATAGAATCCCTGTAACTATGCTCTTTGCTTCTGTACTGTGCTTTTTGCTATATAAGGAACCCTCTCCCTTGGCTCGGGACACTTGGCCTCACAGAAGCTAAGTCGCCCCGGGTACCCGTGTATCCAATAAAGCCTCTTGCTGATTGCATCCAAGTTCGTGGTCTCGCTGATTTCTGGGTACGGGTCTCCTTCTGCGAAAATACCTCTTCTGGGGTCTTTCATAACAAGTTAGCAGCTCTAGAGGTAGAAATTACTAAGTCTTGTGTATTGGCAATATCTGGCCTGGTGACAAAGACCTGTAATCCCAGCTTCCTAGGGTCTGTATGAATCCGTCTTATGAACTGCGCTTGCGTCTGTAGTACACAGCTGCGTACATCTGTATCTGGCAGCTCCGAGGAGGAACTGACGAGTTCGGACTCCGGACCACGGCTCCAGGAGACGTCCTGGTAGCGTCTGGAGCCTCAGTGGGCTCACTTCTGTTTTCTGACTAGGGTAGATGCCTAGGCATCTTCCTAATCTGTTTGGGGAAGCCCCTCAGGTTGAGGGATTTGCTATCCTCATCGGGGACGAGGAAGGGCGGCCCCCTTCTTCGGCCCCATCTGAAGTTTTACTTTCGACCTTGTGTCGAAACCGCGCCGCGAAAGCCTGTTCTGTGTTACTCGGTCTTTGTCTTGTAACCATCATTTGTGTCCTCCTAGGTCTAGAAACTATGGGGCAAACTGTCACCACTCCTTTGTCCCTAACACTCTCGCACTGGAGAGATGTGCAGGATTATGCTCATAACCAGTCTGTTGATGTGCGTAGACGCAAATGGATTACTCTTTGTTCCTCAGAATGGCCAGCCTTTGACGTGGGCTGGCCGCGGGATGGTACCTTTAAC